CATTTTGTATACTCGCCGGGTAGCTCTTTGCTTAGGATCATAGACCTCTGAACCACGTATTATAGCTCCAGAACTACCATAGGGATCTGCAATTTCACCTGCACTTTTCAATGTTTTTACGAGCTTGATTGCCTACCTGGAAACACCTGGAGTTGGCAGAATATTGACATTTGCAGATGATGTTCTCTTATATAGGACAGGGAGAGATCGGATTCAAATAGCTGAAGAGTTACAGGCAACTATAGATAAGGTGATCGACTGGTGTACAGATATGAGTGCTGTAATCAACCTAGAAAAGGCAACCATCCTGTGGTGTTCTTTGGACAACAGGATTGTTAAAGCGAATGTTCCCAGACTCAAAATGAATGGCAGGGATATCAAAAGAGGCAGCAGAATGCGCTACCTGGCAATCACCTAAGACAGAAGTTTGTCTTTCAAAGTTCACATAAAGAGGTTGTGACAGGGCTTTAAAAGGTCCTATTAGGCTCAAGATTATGGCAGCGATGGACATAGAGCAGAGAATTATGTTCACACTTTACCAGCACTTTATTATCTCAGTGATTGATTATACACTGGGGTTACTCATCGTCTCAAAGAGTCGGCTAGAGAAACTGGAGCGCACACAGAATGAAGCTATGTGGGTGATCCTAGGATATAACAGAGATAGCCCGATTGTGTGCATTGCTGACTATTGCAGAAAGTCTAAAGGTGGTACACGCTAAGTCATACCACAGAGAAGCTGCAGACAAGAACACTCTGTGTATGAAGCTTTGGCTACAGGTAAGTGTCAGAGGTTGAAAAGAGAAAAATCATGGATGGCTCAAGCAGAGGAAACAACTATGTACGTTGAAGAACAATGGGCGAAGAGAGAAGTGGGTAAGAATACCAGAGGAAAAGTCTGACTTGTGTAGGGTTATGATCACTTTGGGTAGGGATCGCAGAGAGTGGCCAGCGAATGCTGCGGAGGTGGAAGTTAAATAGCTTATTCACGACAATTCACGCCCAGGTGATCTGATTATATATACAGATGCTTCGGTGTTGACTACTGGTAGTAAATTTGCCTTGAAAAATCACAACAGCCAGAAAGTGCTGGGGTTGGTTCTGCAACGTCCTGTAAAGGATAAGCAACTATTTAGGTTCGGTGTTGCGAGGGAAGAGAAGTGCTTAGGGGTTCGTAGCGAAAGCCAATGGAAAATCTTTAGTGCGAGATAGCCTAGCATATGACACCACAACATCTAGCATGAGAAAGGAGGTGGAGGCGGTAACTGCAGCTCTCCAGTGGCTAGAAAACAAGATGCATATACATGTCGTAATCGTAACAGACACTAAAAGCTTGTTGGGAAAGGTAAAGACAAGGATGCTTCGAGCAGAGTGGCAAGCTGCAATGGGAAGTGAGCATACTTTTGATCTTTTCTCTGAGTATGCCAGCGTGATAGGTAATAAACAGGCAGACAGATTGGATGGATCTGCTCCACTGGGTGGTAAAATGATACATAATAGGGCAGATGTGGTCGAGGCTTTTTGGGAACAAGCAACGAAATCATTAGAGAAAAAAAAAAGATTATTATGGCCTAGAGAGAATGAGGAACCAGAGGGTCTGGCCGGCTCACTACACTCAGAGGAAAGGCAAGGCGGACATATAACCAGATCGTGACCGGTACCATCAGTATTGGAACGCTGCGCTGGCTGATAAGGATGGGGACGGAGCGTGCATGGGAATGCTCCGAATGCTGTGATGTTAATTCTTGACTCAGCTTAACTCAACTAAGGTTGCCCAACACACATCAGTGGCAAACAAACAAAATATATGTTACCAACAACAGCAAATATAGCAGAGTTGTCATTCTGACTAATGCTATGTCTGTTCTACAAACGTTTGTGAACCAAGAAGACAGACAGTTTGTAGACATGTAACTACAGCTGATTCACATAGGCTCAAGTAGAACAATCTGTCCTGCAGTGGATTCTAGGTCACTTGGATGGAAGGGCAATGAAATAGCGGGCAGATTGTCCAGAAGCGGTAGTGGCATGGTACAGTCAAACAGTGACTTAACCTTCTAACATTCCCCATTTCTTTTTTTTTTTCAATAAAAGTAGCCAGATACACACAATTTTCTCCTGTCTCATTTTACTGCTTGTCTGGAAAGGTACAATGTGTTATATTCAGACTAAGGGCCGGAAACAATAGACTTCGTCAACATAAGTTCAAACTTCTAGGTGTAGGAAACATGGATACGTGTCCCTGCAGCGGGGCAGCAGAAAAAGCTGCGCATGTGCTCCAATACTGTAGAATGCCAACAGAGACGCAGTCTGGCTTGTTTCTACCACAATAAAGACAGAGCCGTATGGTACACGGCGAGATATAGACTATACGACAGCTTTCCTAAAAGCTGCCGATGTCTGATATATTTTAAATTTATTTTTGAATCAAGATAGGAAAGTGGCACGTTAAAAAACCTTTAACAAAAAGTAAGAATACTTCAGCGCACATGAAGCTTTCAATAAATTGACTACAAGTTTTGCATTTTATGCAATAAATCCGTGTCATGAGGTTAGAAAGAGAATTCTGGCAAGCTATATAGCCAATTTTAACATGCAGCTGTGAACAAACAAATAATCAACAGGCTGAACAATTTCTCGAAGCCTCGGAGATGTTGTTTCACAGAAGAATCCTTAGAACTAACTCCTTGGAAGGATAAGAAGAGCTCCCAGATGTTTTGAAAAAGGTGAGTGCTCGAATATAATACACATCAGAAAAAGACAGTCATTATTTGTTGGTCATGTAATGAGAAGTAGGAAACTGTAACACATTGTCACCACTTGAAAGATTAGTGGAAAAAGAGACACAGGAAGACAGCGAGAGAACATTCATCACAGCCTTTTATCTTGACATGGAGGGGTGTCAACACACTAACTCATATAGGCATTTGTGGATTGCAAATTATGGAGAATCGTGATCGCCCATGCCAGGCGGCAAGGCACTAGATGATGATAACTACTTCAAGATTACATACCTTTAAGATTTGAAATGTTGTCACCAGCGGCTTGTGAAGAACTGGAATTGGTCGAAGCTGAGCTGCTAGCGCCATGAAAACTTTCTGCTTTCCTTGTCTTGTCTACCTGAACGCTTCTTGTTTTGTTACTTTAAAAGGAAAAAGGGGGGGGGGGGGGGGGGGGGGGGGGGGGGGGGGGGGGGGGGGGGGGGGGGGGGGGGGGAGTTAGAGAAATTAATTTTATGATGACAAATGGCTTAAAAAAACCATATACAAAACATATCGCACACTTATTAAATTTTATTTTCCACTATTGGCCTTGTTCTTTTCTTGTTCTTCTTCTTGTTCTTTTTCTTGTTATTCTTCTTGTTCTTCTTTTTGTTCTTCTTTTTCTTCTTCTTTTTCTCCTTCTTTGTCTTATTCTTGTTATTATTTTTTTCTTCTTCTTCTTCATCTTATTTTCTTCTTCCCTTCTGTACACATTATTATTATGATTAGGGTTAATGTTGTTCCCCCCTTACCTGATATCGAATGTAATGTGGCTTATTTTCCGCAGCTGGCTTCCCTGTACACCGACTGGTTGGGCTCTTAACTCCAGCACCTCTACAATATTGTCCTCTTGCGGTTTTTCAGGGACGGAACCATCGATAAAGAACAGCTTAAACTGGATTTTCTCACTTCTGAATCAAGTTTGGATGAAAGAGAAAACAAACACTAGTAATAAAATCAAAAATAAAGCGTGTTTCTTTGTCCGCAATGCTAAATGTGATCAAACGGTATGTTTCTTTGTCCGCAATGCTAAATGTGATCAAACGGTATGTTTCTTTGTCCGCAATGCTAAATGTGATCAAACGGTATGTTTCTTTGTCCGCAATGCTAAATGTGATCAAACGGTATGTTTCTTTGTCCGCAATGCTAAATGTGATCAAACGGTATGTTTCTTTGTCCGCAATGCTAAATGTGATCAAACGGTATGTTTCTTTGTCCTCAATGCTAAATGTGATCAAACGGTATGTTTCTTTGTCCTCAATGCTAAATGTGATCAAACGGTATGTTTCTTTGTCCTCAATGCTAAATGTGATCAAACGGTATGTTTCTTTGTCCTCAATGCTAAATGTGATCAAACGGTATGTTTCTTTGTCCTCAATGCTAAATGTGATCAAACGGTATGTTTCTTTGTCCGCAATGCTAAATGTGATCAAACGGTATGTTTCTTTGTCCTCAATGCTAAATGTGATCAAACGGTATGTTTCTTTGTCCGCAATGCTAAATGTGATCAAACGGTATGTTTCTTTGTCCGCAATGCTAAATGTGATCAAACGGTATGTTTCTTTGTCCTCAATGCTAAATGTGATCAAACGGTATGTTTCTTTGTTCGCAATGCTAAATGTGATCAAACGGTATGTTTCTTCCCAAATGTTGTCTGCATAGGGTGCCATTGAGAGCAGCAGTAAACTGTCAGTTTCTCCAGGCTCTAATATATTGTGCTAACTATAAATATCAGTCCATACTCGGTTATGTCGTCAACATACTTTCTGGAACAAAGGACACACCGTAATCCATTCTTGAATTGTCGGTCAGGGCGTTTATATCAGTTATTTTAAACACCCTCTTGGACTGGGATGAAAGTTCATCAAACAATATACAAAATGTGAAAATAAAAAGAAAATTTTTTTGCGCAGCTAAATGCTGTGGAAACTTTTTGAGTTTCAGATTGAATGAGTCTTGTACTGCCTACATTTATTTCACCAGTTTTCTCTTTCTGTATGTGAGCGCTTCTCATTGCTTTGAGTGTTATTCTTAAGTTTATGTTTTCGGTCCTTTTTAATTTCCCCCAATGTTGCTGCTGTTGATCATGAGTCTGAGCGTGTTCCATATTCAGCCTACATCCTTCAGTGTGGCCTATTTGTATCTGTATTTACATGTCCCAGGTTCCATGTTGTCTTTGTCATGAAAAAACAAAATAAAACGAAGGAGAACAACGAGATATGACAAACAGAAACTTACGTCAGAGTCTCGACCTCACAGCCCCTATATTTGGTAGTGAGTGTGCTAGTCTTGTAGATGGCATCAACCTAAGAATATAGATATGTATTTAATCATTTCAGATAAACTGCCTGTGCCTAGTAGTATTAGTAGTAGTATTAGTTGTAGTAGTAGTAGTAGTAGTAGTAGTAGTAGTAGTAGTAGTAGTAGTAGTAGTAGTAGTAGTAGTAGTAGTAGTAGTAGTAGTAGTAGTAGTAGTAGTAGTAGTAGTAGTAGTAGTAGTAGTAGTAGTAGTAGTAGTAGTAGTAGTAGTAGTAGTAGTAGTAGTAGTAGTGATGATAGTTGTGGTTCTGGTGCCGGTGCAGGTGTCGGTAGCAGAAGCTGCAGTGCTAGTGTTGTCAGCGGACACGACAGAATGAATAATAGTCTAGGAAGTAGTTACAGCAGCTGTTGTGTGTAAGGTAATAATATATATGGTAGAATGTCAAGGACACAAGAGTTCATGCACCAAACATACAAGAATGATAGTCTGACCTGTTGACAGTAGGCCAGCTTGAGCTCAGTCAGCTCTGATGACGTCATTCTGTTGATGTTCTCTTCTTGTTGTTCACCAGCCAGTACGAACCCCAGAGTAACTTGTAGGAATTCTGAGGACAATAGACAGATAGTTAACAAACGTGTGTACTGTATGATGATGGGACAGATAGACAGTCATACAGACAGCAGACCATACATTCAAGTATACGTCCCATAAAATGATATATACAAGCTTGAAAAAAGAACAGAATTCTTAGACAAATGAAGTGAAACCGTTAATAAAGTTTAAAATACTGACAGTTTGTACATACTGGGTGATTTGAATGGAAGAGTTCGAGAGCGCAGGACGCCATGGCATAGAAACCTGGGACTTTTCAGCGATGCACTAACTAAATGTTATTGTAACGGATAACAACTGCTGAATTTATGTCCAGAAACTGACTTGATTATCAGTAACACCTTTTACCAACATCGAAGAAGTCAGATATTTACGATGTATAGATGAAATAACTTTAGCTAAGCATCACAGACTAATTTTTTTTTACAAGAAGGAGGGCGATTTTTGTGTGTGTGTGTGTGTGTGTGTGAGAGAGAGAGAGAGAGAGAGAGAGAGAGAGAGAGAGAGAGAGAGAGAGAGAGAGAGAATATATAACTCCAGGGCCATCCCAAATGCACTAATAGATTCGGATCATAAACCGGTGGTACTTTTGCTTCATTAACAAGCCGGAACACACCCCAATAAATCAGCTCAGCAAGAAGAGGTAATAAACATTGTAAAACTAAAAGATAAAGAACTTGCAGAGGAAATATACAGAGCAGTAAGACTCCTTCAAACACTTACAGAACCACAGAACAGAAACAAGACATGCAGTGGATTAAACACTTCTCCGACCTCTTGAACAGACCTGATCCTGAAAATCACCCAGATATTCAACCAGCCTCTCAGGACATTGACATTATTACTGAACCACCAAGCAAACAAGAAATCCTTAAAGCTATCCACACTTTAAAGAACAACAAAGTACCAGGCAAAGACGAACTGCCAGCAGAACTTCTCAAAGTAGATCCCAACACAACTGCTAGCATTCTAGAACCATTGTTCAAGGATTTTGGGAAAAAGAAGTGTTGCCTGAAGACTGGACTGAAGGAACAATAGTCAAAATCCCCAAAAAAGGAGACTTAACAGACTGCAATAATTGGGGGGGGGGGGGGGGGGGGGGGGGAATTACTCTACTCTCAGTACCAAGCAAAATATTTTGTAAAATCATCATAATGCGGCTTGAAAAAGGAGTAGATAAATGCCTACGAGTGGAACAAGAAGGATTCAGAAAGGGCAGAGGAACAACTGAGCACATCTTCGCTATACGTAACATTTTAGAACAATGCAATGAATGGCAGAGACGTATATATATTAATTTTGTGGACTTTGAGAAAGCTTTTGACAGCGTCTATAGAGACGGTCTGTGGAAAATTTTACGACATTATGGAATTCCAGAAAAAATAGTCAACATAATCGCTCTCTTCTATAAAGACTTTTCCTGCAGTATAAAAAATTACAATACCCCTTTTCCAGTAAAGACAGGTGTGAGACAGGGATGTGTTATGTCATCTCCCCACTTCAACCTTGTGATTGATTGGATACTAAAGAACATAGTAGACAGGACATTAAGAGGCATACGATGGACTCCATTCACCATGCTTGAGGACCTTGATTTTGCAGATGATATAGCACTCCTATCACATAAACATGAACATATACAAGAGAAAAGTAACAGACTACACTGCACAGCAGAAATGGTGGAACTGAGAATAAATACAAAGAAAACTAAGATCATGACAAACAGTCCAAACCAACAACCAATGACCAAAAATAACCAAACTCTTGAAAATGTAGAACATTTCACATATCTTGGCAGTGTGGTATCCCTACTGGGAGGGACAGAGGAAGACATACAGTCTCGCCTGAATAAAGCTAGAGCTGCTTTTAGAAGGATGAGGCAAATCTGGAAATCCAACAATTACTGCAGAGGAACAAAACTCCGACTCTACAAGAGCATAATTTTGCCAGTTCTTCTTTGTGGAGCGGAATGCTGGAGAATGACCAAAAAGGATGCACACAAGCTGTCCACCCTCCACCACACATATCTACGTAGAATTATCAAAATGTTCTGGCCAGATACAATCTCAAACACTAAACTACTTCAAGCCACAAACCAAGAAAGTTTAGACAGTATGATTACCAAGAGAAGATGGAAATGGCTTGGCCACGTCATGAGAATGACTTCTGATATACCTGCCAAAACAGCTCTCACATGGACACCAGAGAGAAAGAGAAAACAGGGGCGCCCAAAAACAACATGGAGACGAACGATGGAAAGTGACCTGAGTGCGGCATCTTTGACATGGAAAACTGCACTGAAGATTGCACAGGACAGGAAAGCATGGAAAGTCCTCTCTGAAGCCTCATGTATTACTAGGCATAACGAGAACTGATGATGATGATGATGAAACACTTACAGAAGCAAACAACACAGGAGATGAGTGGCAGAGTTTTAAAAGTAGCACCCTGAAAACAGTGACAGAGAACCGCGGCCTCAAAAAGTTGGGCACTCACAGAAAACATACAGCCTTGGGGAATGAAGATGTTAACATTTCTAACCAGGACAAGAAAACAATATTTCTATAAGTGGCAGAAGACAAAATCAGTTGAAGACTACATCAGCTATAAAAAATCGAGACGAGACAGCAAAAGGAAAGTGAATGCGGCAAAATTCGAATCTTGGGCAGACTATGGGGAACAAGTTGCAAAATTATGCACTGAGTCACCAAGAAAGTTTTACAGAAGTGTAAAGGCAATGAGACTGAGAGAAGACAAATTTGACCCATGCACTATTATTAACAACAAGATTTAAAGAAACCACTCACCAGCAGTCAAGATTTTAAAAACAGATGGAAAGAACATTTGAATGAACTGTTAAACCGTGAAACACTTAATGAAGTACCATTCCAACATAAATTTACAAAAGACCGTGATCTAAAGATACTAGAATCTGAAGTTAAAATTTACCTTAAACAAAGTAAAAAAAAAAACACAGTAGCGGGAATAGATGGTATTACCACAGAAATGTTCCTTGCATGTATGACAACAGAAAAGCTTGATTGACCAGAATCTTTGACATGGCTTTGCAGGCACGGATGACTGGCAGAGAGCAGGCACGGATGACTGGCAGAGATCAATCATTGTCCTCATTTTGGAAGAATAAAGGAGACAACGAGACTGTAAAGCATATATAGGGGCATCTCCTACTTGGATAATATTGGAAAGATGTTTACAAAAATATTTGAATGTACAGCTCGACCAGTACTAGAACCCCAATTAAGCAGGAGACAGTTTGGTGTCAGGAAGGGAAAGAGGGTTACAGAGGCAGTGGTTTTTTTTTTTTTTTTTGCAGATATATGCGAGTAGTCTTTAAATATGATACAAACCAACATCTTATATTCCTAGATCAAGTGAAGGGAATCAATCGATCGAGTTAACAGATACAAAATATGAAAACATTCTAGAGGATTATGGCATTCACGTTCAACTGTTGGGTAACATCATGGATCTTTAACGAGATAGTCAGTGCACAGTAAGAACACAAGAAGGAATGACAGACTGGTTTCCCATTTCATGAAATGTCAGACAGGGATGTGTCCTCTCACCATTGCTATTCATTACTTACATTAATAAAATTACATAAGAGGCAAATACAGACACTGAAAAAAATCAATGAACTTCTTTTGTGCAAAAATCAATTACACCACCATGAACACAATTTAAAACGTCATACTCACTCCTTACATCAAACCTGAAAAAGTATGATATGAGAATAAACACCGCGAAATCTGAGGTAATCAGAGTAGACACTAAACATAATATCATAAACGTTTATATTCACGGAACAAGAACAAAACAAGTAAGAGAATTCAAATATTTAGGAGGCATATTTATGCAGTATGGCAGGTTCGACAGAGAGACAGAGAGAGAGAGAGAGAGAGAGAAAGGAAAAGAGAGAGAGAGAGAGAGAGAGAAAGGAAAAGAGAGAGAGAGAGAAAGGGAGAGGGAGAGAGTAAGAAAGGCCAGAGTACAGAAGGCTTGAGCTGTCACCTCCCAGTCAGCCCCACTGCTTAGAAACAAAAATGGCCCCCTTTTAGCAAAATGATAACAGCATCTTCATGGCTACTTGATGCTATCAGTGCCAAACATAGACAATCAATGGAGCACTACAACAGAAAATAACTACATGTGAAATGTGCTGTCTCCGCAAGGTCACTAACAACACGAGAAGAGACAGTGTTACGAATACCAGCATTAGAGAGAATGTTGGAATAAGACCATGTCTAAATTTTTTTGACCGACAAAAAATTTAATCGATCGCTCCTTCTAGTGAGAATGCAGCCAGGTCAAACTGCCTATGAGCTTTTACAGAGGAACATCTGGGAGGAAAGGGAGAGGAAAACCAAGAAATAGATGGATAAATGGTGTGGCCGATGCCTGCAAAAAGATAACCAAATCCATCAGCCAAGCCACCCAAGAAGCGCCAGACAAATGCAGAAAACCACGACACTTGGCTACAACCTGATATCAGCGAGACTGCAAAAGAGACGAAATCTAGTCAGCAATTGAAGGGCTTTATGGTCAACATCACACAAGCCGCCTGTTCTTCCCAGGACATTGCTTAGTACCATTGTACCAAGGTGAGAGCTGTTTTGTTTTCTATAATCATTCCCCATTTCTTAGGGAGTCGGGTAAACTCATTACAGTTCTGCGAAAGAGAAGAGGCCTGTTCAGTCTCTTATTTATTTTCAAGGATATTCTCTCTAGAATGTGCTACCTTCTTGATGTTGTGAAGCTAAAGAATGACTTTAGATGAGATCATACAAATCAGCAGTGACAGATAAGTTGAAAGGTTGGTAACCCAAAGACACAACTATATTATATATATATATATATATATATATATATATATATATATATATATATATATATATATATATATTATTTGTGTATCCACTACCGGCCGTTCCAGAACCAACCCTAGCTTTTCTTGGCTTTTGTAGTTTTTCTAGGCAATTTGCGTCCAGTAGTTTGAAATTGCGTTCTTGGCGATCGGCTTTTCGATACAACTGTCGAAACTAAACACCCCGGCATTACAAAGCGCGTTTGCAACGCCTAAGATAGAGACGCCGACAGATGTATATATATATATATATATATATATATATATATATATATATATATATATATATATATATATATATATATATATAATTATATATATATATAATTATAGAGCTTATGACCTTTGGCAACCTTTAACAGGACACTGCGATGACCTGATAAATCTGGTTACTCATAGCATTATGAACATTCTGTTCAAAGTAACATTATTGGTAGTATCGTCCTGTGATGTCTTCTATGTTCAAGCCACTTAAGCTATTTCTGTCCTTTACATATTAAAATATCATTTCTTTCATTAGAAAAAGTTTTTGTTAATTCACTGTAGTGTTGTTTTTGTTTTTTTTAAATAATTTGCATCGTTGTTCAAATCAAATTAGTGCTTATATTTTGTTGACTCAGAGAACACCCAGTTCCAACCAGTCTGGTGGCATTTGCTTATTCAGTGAGGAAGTCCACCAAGCTTATTCATCACAGAAGTGACTTGCTTCATTGCCGAATACTTGTATTAGTTCACCCCAAGGGTGGCTTTGGTTGGTTTTCTGCATTGTCGATATCCCCAACAGATCAGTACAACGAGCCACCGACACGACCCTTTGCCAATCTTGAGTGATACTATTTATGGTCATGTTTTGAGGAGGTGGAAGAACACATCATATAACAATCACAGACAATGGCCTTTACTTTCCATGAGGTTTTCGGGTACCGATTTTAGGTTTGTGTCCAACCAGCAACCAGTGTTATTTTATAAAAATTTTAAAAAAAACCGCCACCAGGCACATGCAAACTCAAAACGTTCTTGTCGGCAGAAAACTATCTAAGCACCGCACTGACCTTATAGAGAAGAAGTACAATGAACAGAAAATCAGATTTGTCGAGTCCGGGGAAATAGTTTTGAATAGATCAATAAAGGAATACTTTAACAATGCACTTACCTATTTGTTTTTCTTGAGAATCTGCAGAAAACAAGTAGAATAATGTTTACAGTCGCAGCATTTTCATCACCAACTATACATGAATTTGATTTTGTGATCAGTGATTGGCTTAGTGGCAGGCATCGTTAAGACTGTATTATGGGTAGTTTTATAGATACTTTTAGAGGTTGTTATCAGTGTCTGACTGTGTCATGTTCAACATAAGACGCAATGTTTGGTACTGGCTCCGGTGGACATTGTAGGTTGTTCTTACGGTGACGTAAATTTGTTTCGCATTACTTCAGTATCAGCAGTATGGTCTATTACCTTGGTGAGCTGGTCCGGGTTTCTAGTGGAAAAGGGTTTCTCACCCCTTGATAGTCCATCGTGTCCGAATTGTCTACCAGTGATCCTCTGCCACCTGCTAACAAAGTCCAACATGTGTCCGGTAAACCAATCGTAAGCTTGTCGCTCGGTCGTCCAGGTATGCTGACTGCTCTAATTAGGCTACCGCGGCGATTTCTTATCTCACAGTATATTATGCAAATCACCAAGTCGTCTTGTCCATATCCGAAAGAAAAACACCATCCGGTAATTTCGTGCAGCAGGGTACCAGCCCTGAGCTTCATGAACTCAGGTGGGCCCACCTCCGAAAACGTCTAGGAGATCGTGCGCCGAAACGTTTGTCGACGAGGATAACTTCTACTGATGACTGGTAGATCCCTGCTGTATTTGCTCCCTGTGAGTTTATTCCTATAATGTGTTATATCATCATCATGTACCAGGTCCTATGCAGAACGTCGCTCTCCTCACAGTCTGCCTAAAAGAAAGTCGGGTTCTCGTAAGCTTTCCCGTCTCGTGCACAATAATATCCAAGGAGTTACCTCTATCCTATGTCCACATTCGTGATGGTCGGTCTTTGCTCAACCTTCCTGGTACCAAGCCTTATACTAATATTTTTCCAATCCGCCGTGGCCCTTGATGTTTGCAAAATATTTTAACTTCCAACTTAAGATGTTGTTTATTAGTCAATCTTCCTTGATGTTCGGATATTTTAGAATGTCGGTAGTTATTTTTTCTTTGTGTATAGCGTTATGATAATCTATCTAAAGCATTTCAGCTCACAAGTTCCTATTTTCTTCCTTAAGGACTGGGAGATAGTCCACCACTCACATCTGTATGTTGCTTAATAGAATAAGCATGCTCGCATAATTTTAACGTTGATTTCCTTACTGACGCTTAACCATAGACTTTTAATGCTGTTTAATCTTTGTGTGCCATTCTCCTTTTGACTTCTAATGAAGTCTCCATTGATGTTTCTTACAGAGCTTAGCTATTCAAAGTTTATGACGTGTTCAAGTTTTTTTAGCATTGTTTGTGTGTGTGTGTGCGCGCGTGTGTGTGTGTGTGTGTGTGTGTGTGTGTTAGCCAGTTTTTTCTGCACATTATTTTTGACTTTCCTTAAATTCAAGAACAGGTTTTGATCTTCACTGTGTTTTTTGGAGACATGGTTAAATGTTATATTCTCATTACATTTCGAAAGGAGGACTGTGTCATTTGCATATAGAAGTTGTGGAATAGGGTGGCCACCAATTATAAGTGGATTGTAACTGTTACGCGTCTGGTCATATTTGACATTTCTCATTATGTTTTCTAGATTTATATTGAATAGGTATGGTAAGAGAATGCACCCCAGCCCCTCTCTCTTCTATATGCATCTTAAACCTATCTGATGTTTCTCCTGATGTTCTGATGGCTACTTGTTGTTCGTGATATAACTCATTAAATGCACCAAATATAGTGGAAACCCTAAACTGCTCATGATACTCCTCAATTTCTGATGTTGGACACTATCAAATGCCTTGCTATAATCAATGAAACAAGCATGGCGATGAAAAGTAAATTCTCTACATTTTTCAAAGATTATTCTCATATTAGAGATGTGATTCCTCTACCCTGTCTGAAACCCACCTTTGCTTTATGTAGCTCATATTGTAGGTTCCATTCAATTCTATTGCTTAGTGCCCCTTTGATTTCTTAGACAGTTCAAAAACTGCGCTTAGTTTGAAACGCTCAAACGCTTCCAAACTATTAGAACTATCTGTTGACTTTTATAAATATGAAAACTGACATTATGATATGTGACTACAGATTATCTATCCAAATTAGATCAGTTCTTGAAGTCCCAGGAATGATATCAAAGAAGAACAAACCGAGTCAGAGCAAGCCTTGTCAATTCTTTCACTCAAGAATCAGCATCCTTCAAATTTTCCGGCACATGTGTTCACATCTGTTTCTGCTGAATATGCTACAGCAAAAGACGGGATCGAATGTACATTATACATTGTAACTGTAGCACAGTGACACATTGTGTAGCGGCATGGAAATGTTGTACTTTCAAAGTAGAGGAAGCAACCTTTCTTTCAACTGTACAAACTCTCAATGGTCCAGTTTAACTAATAAAAAAAGCTGTTATATTCGACACAAAAACCAGCCCCTCAAGCCATTTAGTGCTTCAATCATGATGGTGTCACCTTTGAAAAAATAAAGTTTTAAAAAAAATAATATCAGAACGCTCTCCACAAAAACAGGACTCGTCCAGCAATGAATTCCAGCCTACCGTGGTGTACATAGACAGGGATATTCAGATTAGCACAGAAAGACTTTAAACAACCATCTAGCTCAGAGCTATATAACGCCACTGAAACTTTCAAATTACTAAAATAATTTATACAGTTGAACTGGAGAGAGGACCACTAAAATTACATACCAAAGCATGTTGTAAAGAGTATGGGGAAAAACAATACGGAAAACAAAATAGTGTGTGCATCATTCTGTTTGTTTGATTGCTGAAAGTATATATTAAAAAGCTAGGAATAAACTTGAGAACTAGTGAGAACTAGGACTAATAAAAAGAGGACATGGGAAAAGGACAGAGATAAATATCTTGATAGCTCAAACATATGCATGAGGCATGAATAGATCATTGACCTAATCTTTGTTTCTTCTGCTCGTGTCATTTGAGAAAATCATAGTTGCTTTTGTTTATCAGGACAGTACATGTTGCTGATGAGTTTTCCAGGCACAGGGTTGCGCTTAGCGATTTTTATTTCTTCAAAAAGGGGTTGGTGGGGTTGGTTGGGCAGATGAACATATCTATACAACCTATAAGTTTCAAATTCAGATTTGAAATATTGCTTGCACTAGCTCAGTTTTAAAGTTTTACACCCCTCCCCCCCCCCCAACTGTTTCTATTTACTCTTCTATATTTTAATGTTTGCCAATGCGTGCTGTTCGTGTGATATCGTCAGTGATTTGTAATTGTTGTTATCCTCTTTGCCTACAATTTTCCATTTAATAGAAAATTTAATTAATCTAACACAAAAACCCAGTGTATAGATCGAAGAAGAAGTGCACATGTTACAGTGCTCACACAGTGCTCACAACCTGTGAAAGTAAGGTTCGTTTATTTAGGAATACTTAGTAACTATTTCGGTCACGCGTATATCTAACATAAATTGTATTTTATGCAGCCACGAAGAAATGGAGTAAAATTGAAAGTCTAATCATGTAGAATAACGTTGGAAGTAATAATAATTGCTTCATTTGACTGGGATATCGCACGACACCATCTAGTTGAAAATTAGTTTTTTAGTCTTTGAAATGAATGACACTAAACAGCCCTGAGTTAAAGAGACATACAAGTATTGATAAAAACGAGCAGCTTATGTTCATATGTCTATACAGTCGGCGTCTGTCGCTTGCGCGCTGCAAACGCACTTTGTAATGCAGGGGTGCCTGGTTCGATCCTACGGACAATTTATTTTGCGTTGGTTTCGACAGTTGTACCAAGACCCGACCGTTCAGGTTGCTATAGCAAAATACTGAAAGTAGAATTTGCCTAGAAAAACCGCAACAGCCAAAAAATGCTGGGGCTGGTTCTGCAATATCTTGTCAACTAACATTTTAATCTCATTGCAACTAAAATTTTAACTAAACATCTAGTTTTTGTTGTGTGTGTGTATGTATATATATATATATATAATATCGTTCATTTGAAAACTGCTGGTGCCGCACCGCACGTAATATTGTGCGTTGGACTTAAGCATAGCTTAGTCTGACCAGTTAACAAACGAGCACCTGCTTATTGTCCCATGATGCATAGGTTCTGTTTTTGACTGTTGAGAAAATGGCTGGGTTGATCCAAAATCCGTCCAAGGAAGCTCAACGAGCGGTGATTCAGTTGCTTTCATATTTGAAGGTTTTTGACGAGTGGACAATCATCGAAGTGTGCGGGTAGCGTATGGTAACAAATGTGAGTGTCGAAAACAGCAGTGACAAAATGAGCATAAATCTTTTGGAAAAGAAATGAGTTCTCAGAAAACAATTATGACCAAATTGATCACCGGTACAGGTGAACCGTTGTCGAAGAATACGTACGCTAGCAAAAGAAACTGTGTCGTTTGGGAAAGTTCAAAAGTTTGTCAGTAAGGTGGCAAAGTGTGTTAACTGTGAGTGCCACAGATATTGAAGAACCCACACACACACACACACACACACACACACACACACACACACACACACACACACACACACACACACACACGCACACACACACGAATGTGATCGTGGTTGAACCACTTACTGCGTTACAGAGCGGGAGGTGATGCATTTCTATTCCACACAGTGGCAGACAATGAATCACGGTGTCATCTATTTAGGCCGAGCAGCAAAGAAAGAGCATGCAATGTAAGTTAAGGTTTCCACTGGTAAGTCTATGCTGAGCACAGTTTTGGACCATAAATGGATTGTGTCGGCAGACCTCAAGAACCTCGTGTCAGCATGTTTGAAAGATTCTGCAAGAAGCGTTGGCTCGGAAGAAGTGGGAAACTCTACAGTATCCGACATATGGACATGTTTTATGACCATTTGATTTTTTTTTTCATCTGACCTTTAAAAAAAAACCGACAGGGAGCAAAGTTTTCACATAGGTGCAGGTGTAATTTAGTGAGCAACAACAATCCTTTTTTTTTTTTCTGCGCCTACCTAAGAAATGGGACTCTTGCTTGAATGTCTGCGGCAGCTTTCTTTGACCAACCAATGGTGAAAAATCAATTCATAATGAATGCTTATGTTTAAGTCTACCATAACTCTGGATGTTTGTTTCTGTTTTTTTTTTTTTTTAAAGCCATTAGAAAGAATTTCAAATGAAAGCTCCTTATATAATCTTGTTCTAGTTTCAACGTAATCAACAGTAGTTTCTGGCACTCTTAGGCACGTTTGTTTTGCAATGGTGACAGTTTAAAAACACTTACCTTTAAGAACAACAGCAAAGTAGACAGCTACTGACAAGCAAGCCAGCAGCGTAATGGTAATAAGCGATATAACTACGGGAGATACCATTTTTCTCACTCGCGAAGTTGAAATATCCAGAAACTCTATTGGGATTTCCAACGTACTGAAAGGAGAAGGTTCTTCACTGCCAGCTGATAGCATTGAAAGATTTCTCTTCGACTGTTCTCTCGTAGAATTCATGATGTTAGAAATATTGTCTGTTCTGTTCATTGCCCCATTTACTGACCCTTGCTTGTCTTTAGCTTCATGTTTGACTAGTGACGCTTGTAACGATGCCTTTGAAAATTTGCCTACTGACAATCCGTCTGCCTCGCTGCGTCGTCTGGCTGCAAGTTTGGAGGCACTGGATAAGGAATTGTCGCTACATACACTCAATCTACTTTTAGAGCTCTTTTGCGAGTGGACATCGCTGGCCTCACTGAAAGTATCAAAATCCGGGCCTAACTCCAATCCACCATAACTTTTTCTTCTAGCATTTCGAGGCCGATCTGACTTTTTAATCTCTGGATTGCTGCTTCGTTTGTTGCCATGTGCTTGTTGTCGACGCTTATGATATCTATTATATGGAGAAGGCTGATCTAAGATATCACTATCTGAATGTCTTCGTTTATCATTGATAAATGTACTGATCTCGCCACTTCGTATGTGGTTGATATCATCATTAAAAGGATCTTCCATGATATTCATTTTGGCGCGTACACCGAGTCTATCCAGAGCAGGCATGTCTTCATCGATTGTCTCCATACCTTGAAAAGAAGCCGATTTGGAAAGACGTAGTTGATTTTCAGGTGACAGATGGCTTGGATACCATCTCAGAGGCTATTTGTGGATTGAATATATCAATAAAGACAATTAGTATACATTAAAGGCCACTGTTCGTGTTATGAGACATCGTGTGCCTATGGCTTTAGTCTCATATATTCATAAATCAAACAATACTCGATGGATAATGAGGAATTATAATGCTAATAGCCTTTGCGTTCTGTATAAGTTGCTGCAAATATATTAGGTTTAGTAAATGATAGCGTAGCTGACTAATTTCCCCCCCCCCATCCCACCCCCCCCCCCCCCCCAATCAGTGTTTCCACGAGGATAGTAGTGATAACCACTAAAAACGGCATATCTCAATATCTACTGTACTATACACTAACTTCTATATCAACATAGTTCTGCTTACAGATATATTTAGGGGCGATGACAAGTTTTGCACTCGAGTACAAAGGAGGAAAAGCTCTTAGTTGAAAACTGATGCAAAATTTAGTCTCTGTCTATGTAATCACCATTCAAGGCGATACTCTTGTCTGGTCAGCATCCACGTGTTACTAGAAGAAATAAAGCTATTTAAAAAATGCTATGTCGCATGCAGACCTCTTCGTATACAATTTGCAGGGTTCTATGCTCATGGTGCATCGTACCTGCTCATTTGTGCTGCTATGAGACCCTACACCAGGGTTGTTCAACTAAGTTTAATTACTCATGGGCCACATATTTTAAAATGGGAATTGTCACGGGCCAGCTGCCCATACCTTAAGGTAGAAAAATCTTTGATACAATGGCAATGATCTGCGGGCCACTTGCTACGCCTTCGCGGGCTAGACTTGACCCGCTCGCCGCCAGTTAAATAACCTTGCCCCACACGATGTTCGAGTCACAATTGCAAAATGTCGGACTGTAGTACTGTGCAGCCATCAGAAAACTGCCGTTATTGACCGCATCTCCATTTTCATATTTAATATTCTCATTCTTCAAACCATTTCCATTCTTCTTTGCGATACAATTACACCGACTCTCATTATCTCTCACTACAGACCCATCTGTGTGTATAACGATATTATCTGTTCGTAATTGTAGTTGATCAACCGCTGCACTGATATATGGGTTTAAAAGCTATCCATTCCCGTCAGCACTTCGGCTCTCTGGCTGCCCGGAACTGTGACCCATTTCTTTCCATGCGTTTGAGAATTGTTTTATACGTAATGATTTATAATAAGTATCCTTTTTTTTTTTTTTTTCTGAATAGGAAACACGTAACAAATTTGACATTAACAGAACAAGTATGAAGGCATACTCCAACAAAGAAAGCGTCCAAGTATGTTAGCACATGAGAGGTGAGGTCTTTGAGGAAGACGGGGGGGGGGGGAGGGGTGCTTTAACGTCAAAACACACCTAGGTGCTCGCACCCCTGTCTAGGGAAAGATTTGTACTTAAAATTGATGGATATAAAAAGGATGGAATGTACTTGTAGGAAAACATGGCTACATGAGTCGTCGATTGTTTTAAGAAGGGGGGGGAAGGGGTGGGGGGGGGGAGAGATCGGCAAAATGTAAAATTCCGAGCTACTTATGATAGATGTGATATAGTTTTAATCACTTTGGTCTTGTCTAGCTGTTTAAAGTATAATTGAAAATCGATATTATAGCCCTCTGGACAATTCCATAAGCGCTATGTCCCCATCTTAAGTAGCAAGCGCAGAGTTCTTATTCCAGTAGTACCAATAACAGTCTGACTGTTTATCTGTCTCTCCTTTCCCTTGAGTGCTGACCTTCGATCAGATCCTCTGGTTACTCCTCGCAAAACCATTCAGACCATAGTGATTCATTTGTGCCCTTACAACATCCAGCTTGTCATGAACCATTTCACCACTAAGTTGTGCAGAACCAGTCTAGCTTGTAATGAATCATTTCACCAATAAGTTGTGCAGAACCAGTCTCGCTGGTAATGAATCATTTCACCAATAAGTTGTGCAGAACCAGTCTCGCTGGTAATGAATCATTTCACCAATAAGTTGTGCAGAACCAGTCTAGCTTGTAATGAATCATTTCACCACTAAGTTGTGCAGAACCAGTCTCGCTGGTAATGAATCATTTCACCAATAAGTTGTGCAGAACCAGTCTAGCTTGTAATGAATCATTTCACCAATAAGTTGTGCAGAACCAGTCTAGCTTGTAATGAATCATTTCACCAATAAGTTGTGCAGAACCAGTCCAGCTGGTAATGAATCATTTCACCACTAAGTTGTGCAGAACCAGTCCAGCTGGTAATGAATCATTTCACCAATAAGTTGTGCAGAACCAGTCTCGCTGGTAATGAATCATTTCACCAATAAGTTGTGCAGAACCAGTCCAGCTGGTAATGAATCATTTCACCAATAAGTTGTGCAGAACCAGTCCAGCTGGTAATGAATCATTTCACCAATAAGTTGTGCAGAACCAGTCCAGCTGGTAATGAATCATTTCACCAATAAGTTGTGCAGAACCAGTCCAGCTTGTAATGAATCATTTCACCACTAAGTTGTGCAGAACCAGTCTAGCTTGTAATGAATCATTTCCCAAATAAGTTGTGCAGAACCAGTCTCCTTTCTGGTCATTTCCTACTACACTGGCATTTCGTTGAGAAATTGTCCAAAGAGTGCTAACTACCCGAGGCCTATGAAGCGATGTTTGTCATTCTTTAGGGAGCATACCGGTCTGCACCCTTCTCAACACGCTCTGTGAGTCAGTTACAATAATGACATGTGTATATAGCTGATACTCATTCCAGCGAAAGGCTGCAGTAACCACCATCTCCATTCTCAAACTAGATGTTGTGGTGTCTAATACCAGCTTTGTTGTACTAAGCGACAGCCATTCACATTTGCTAAGAACCCCCATGAGCTTCGCCTGCCTCTCAGCACGGAGCCATCTATGTAGATTATCACATCACCTGGGCGATAGTTGCCATGAATCAAGTGTTCGACTTCCCATTCAGCAGAGCCAGCTGACCAGTCGCTGTACTCACGGCCCAGTTTAACCAGTTTGATCAGATCCCTAGACAAGTATGACTTGCTGGGGCATTCTGACCCACTCCTCTCCTCATCAAAAGTTACCAAGCCTGCACACATGACTACTTGTGTCTTCAGCTGACACTTTGATATGGTTGAGTTGAGCTGAGTTTAGAATTGACATCACAGTACTTAGTGCATTCCCATACGCGATCGGCCCCTACCATCAGCAGCCATAGCAGTTTCAATACTAATGGTGCCAGGCGTAGTCTAGTTTTATGTCCGTCTTGCCTGTCTTTTGAGCGTAGTGTGCCGGTCAAACCCTCTTGTCACACCCAGGTGTATCATTCTCTCCAGCCCATAATAATCTAGTTTCTCTTCTGACTTCGTTACTTGTTCTCAAAGGGCTCTGACCACATCTGCCTTGTCATGTATCAGTTTACCACCCAGCGGTGCAGAGCCAGCCAGTCTGTCTGCCTTTTCATTCACCACCACCGGCATTGCCGGGAGAAAAGATCAAAAGCATGCTCACTACCCGTGACCTTGCAAATGAAGCTTGCCACTCTGCTGGAAGCGATCCTATCTTCACCTTTTTCAGCATGCTTTCAGAGTTCTTTACAATTACTACACGTGTATGTATCTTGTTCTCTAGCCACCGACGAGCTGCGGTTGCCACCTCCACCCCCATTCTTATGCTAGATGCCGTGGTATCATATGCCAGACTGTCCTGCATTAAAAGATGTTCCATTGGCTTTCGCTAAAAAACTACAGGCGCTTCTCTTCCCTCTCAATACAAAACCATCTGTGTAGATAATCAGATCTTCTGGACAAGAATTGTCGTGAATCAGTTCTTGGATTTCCACCTCAGTATAGTCTGGTATAGTCTGAACAGCATGCTTTGTTCCATGTCCACTGCTGCCATCATCTTTAGTGCCTTAAGACCTTTTTGAGTCTTTGACACCATTTTTATGTGATACTTGACAGACTAGCATAAAAAGGTGATTTCCAGGTACTGCAGTCTGCTGTCTCTCTTGATGTCCCTGCCATTTATTTTGAGGCTTGAAACATCAGCTCTAACAATCCTGCTGTCCGAAAGAACACCTAAAGACGGTTGCCTTTTCTGGGTTGATTACAGCACTTATCTCTGTACACCAGTTGATCCCCTCATCATATGTCGCCTGTAACTCTTGAGCAATTTGATTCCGATCTCTCGCCTGCCTATAGTCAAGAATATCATCTGCGAATTCCAATATTCTACCAACTACCGGTGTTTCCAGTTCTGCAATCTTGTTCGTAAACACATTGAACAGCACAGGTGGAATTGCAGGTCCATGTGGTAGTCCCGGGGCCATAATACGTGTTTGGAGGTCCATGAACCCAGGCGGAGAGCTACCCGGCGAGAAAACAAAGATAACAAATATAATGAAAGACCTAGCATATTTAGCTGCTAGGTTTTGGGACGTAGTTTAAATTCCCATTGATGCGATCTTTATTATTGACTCAAGGCTGTTATGTCGACGAAGCCCAAAGTGAGTCTAATAAGTGTCATATATAGTAAAAGCGATCAGCAAAATTTGTTGAATGTTTTTCACAAGGGTAAGGTGGAGTAGGTACATAACATTTTACATTTTTAGTGCGTTGTAACCTCTTCAGACTCCAATAAATCACTGATATTGTTAAATTTCACTAGGTTATTCCTCTGCTCTGTGTTTTTCTATCACTATCAAAAGCCGGCCATGACCTACGTCTGAGTCCCACTTTGGCACGGTCTCATGCCACAGACCGGTATGCAGAACTTGTCCATTTGTAGTTCAAACTACAAGTCTTGAATTATCGAATGCCACCTTTCACATACGTGAAGCATTCTATCGCACAGCCGCAATGTAATTTACGCCATCAACTGCATAAAATACATTGGTAATTTGGGTCTACGGCTGGCTGACAGGTTCAGACAACATCGAGTGGATGTGCAGAATGATGCCTT